GCTGCAGTGTGTGTTTCACTTCTGGTTGCTGCAGATACCCCTGGGGCTCAGGGCTAGCACTTGGAGAGTATGGCGGGAGTTGTCGTGCTCTAGGATGGGAGGCAATTGGCCAGGCTCTGTGACTCAGCTTTCTGCTTGGCATTGGTGTTTGCTAAGGCACAGCTGTCACCACTCTGCATTGGTCTCTGCTGTGCTCACTGCCCTGATCACTGGGCTCCGCCTCATGGAATATGCTGATCACTCATGCAGGACTGTTCAGGGCTTCAAAGAGTGAAAAACACTTCCTGACTTCCCCTCCCTGCGTCTTGCAAGGGGTTTCAGACTGCGTTTGCACCACTGATCTCCAGCACCATCCCTTCTCCCTTCCCTTTCCTCCTCCCTTTCTCACCGGATTCAACTACCTTCAGATACTCTGATGCACAGATCTCTCAGACCTGTTTGTGAACCAGGCTGGGAGCTATCTGTTGTCTGTTGCATTGTGATTGTTCACTTCATTGTAATTTCAAGGGAACCGATCAGGGGAGATCCCTCAGGCTGCCATGCTTTTGACCTCACTCTGATGCTTCTATTAAAAATGGCTCCCATGTTTAGTACAGAAGTTCTAGCCAGTGTTTTTAAGTGCAAGAGAGCTGCGATATGCCTTAAGAAGGAGATATGTATGCTCAATAAACTTTGTTCATCCATGATTTCTAATGCTGTTGGCCTTGAGTTCAATGTTAATGAATCAACATATATTAAGTAAGGTATCCTTAAACAGAAACACATATAAAACAAAGATATGTACTTATCAGTTGATAAAAATGTAACCAGAGGTGTGTAAGAAGTTAACCTTATATTTTCCCTAGGAGCAATGGTTTAGTATTCCTTAAATCAGTGTTCATGTCTATTTTATGGGATATGACTACGGCAAATAATGAAAATCAACTATATTTTGATTACAGAAGCACTTGGAAGGGTTGAGTCTTATGGGTGGTTACCTCATGTTCATCTTCAATCCTGTTATTTATGAATCTCTATATGATAGAATTCTGTTCTAGAACATGTTATATTTTGGAAGAAGCCACTTTTTATCTCTCATTGATTTTAAACAAGTCATTTATAATTTTGAATTGGCAAGCTATTATTTTGAAATTACAAATTATTTTAACTCAAGGTTTTACCTTCTTTGTGAAAACTATAATCATCCCTGCTCAAATTTAATGCTATTTAACTATCAGTCTTATGAGCCTGTGAGTTTATAATACCCCCCAATCTGATACTTTTTAAATATCTTATTTGATTTTCTAAATCATGGGTTGGCAATTTTTTTCTGTAAAGGCCCAGACAGTAAATATGTTAGACTTTGCAGGACACATGAGGTCACTTATTCTTCTTTGTTCATTTATTTTTATTTTTAAAAGACTTTAAATAATTAAAAAAATATATATTTTTATCTCAGAGTCCAGGACAGATTTAGCCCAGAGCTATGGTTTGGCAATCCCTATTCTAAATTTTTCAGTGTAGTATACATTCAGCTGCCTCTCTTTGGTTAGGGATGCCTTCTTCATCAGTATAACCTGTGGTTTGAAAAGGCATGAGTGTGCCAAACTGCCTGTTTAATTTTGATCAAATTTTGGCCTTTTTTGTTTAGAGGCACTAAGTATGATATTTTTTTATTGTTGTCATAGTTCTCACTAGCACTCGATTGACATCAAATGTATGTGAGAAGAAAAATGAGGAGTAAGCACAGCTGTTTAATATCTTTATTCAGCGATCAGAAGAAATGGGGAGCTAAAATTAACTGCCCATTTACCAGTTACAAGCCATTTTCATTAAATCCTTATATATTCCACATGATAATCATAAAAGGAAGGCCTTTCCATTTTTTTTCAGTTGTATAACTTGCACTGTCCAGTGGAACTTTCTTTAATAATGGAGTTATTATATATTTGTGCTCTACAATATGCTGTTGAGCACTTGAAATGGGGATAGTATGACTAAAGAACTAAATTAAAATTTTTATTTAAATTTAAATAACCACATGTAGCTAGTAGTTACCATATTGGGCAGCATAGTTCTTAAGAGCCCAGATTTAGACAGTATATTCCACAACTGGAATTTAAAACCAAATCAGTATGACTCCTAAACTCATTTTTTCCCCATTATGCCACACTGCCTCATCAATAAAAGTCAAGGCGATGGACTCTGCTCTACTGAATAGAAAATGTAGTGAAGATACTTAGACATTTTTCAAGGTATGTTAACTTTTTAGGGCACAGTTCAGTTAATCAATCTGGACTCTGGAGGACTACATCATAATTAGCAAGCAGTACCTATGAATTTATTCTATAATCTATATTTATTATTGCACTGTACTCAGAGACCATTAGGATGTTGAATTTTTTTTAGATATCAGCATAATTTAAAAGTGTTTTAACAGTGAAGTTCAGCCTAGGGAATATAGTCAATAATATTGTAATAACCATGTATAGTGCCAGGTGGGTACTAGACTAATTGGGGATATCACTTTGTAAATTACATAAATGTCTAACCATTATGCTGTACACTTAAGACTAATATAAAATAATATTGAATGTCAACTCTAACTGAAAAATAAAATTAAAAAAATAAAAATTTAAAAGTACATACAAATTTCCTCGAGATGAGGCTTAGGTTAATTGACTGATAGCCATTTATTAAGCAGCTTCTAAATCCCAGGCATTGACATAAAAAGACTCCATCCTAAATACCGCATATTCTACCACCTCTGTCTGTTTGCCTTTTTCAATCTGCCTAGCAGATGATGTGAGTGCAAAAGCATTAAACCATAGTCAGAAGACCTGGACTTTTCGTCCCATTTCAGTCTCTCACTTAGCTTAAATGACTCTAGCTCACAGAGCCTCAGTTTCCATATCTGTAAAATAAAGGTAGTTTTGTATTCCTTGGTCACCTCACAGTGGCTTTTGAAATAAATGCATGTGGATATAAAAGCGTTTTATTAATGTAAGAAAATTATATTACCATCATTTTTGCATTTCTCTGCCAGTTGACTTACTTAAGACAAAGCTCAGCTCCAAGTTATCCATGTACAACAATATAATAATCCTTTACATTTTTAAAGTTTTCTCTTGGTGCTCTATCTAGAAGTGATTTCTTCTTTCCCTGAACTTGTATTACATTGTTTAATTCATTTGTTATGAAGCAAATGTTGCATCATAAATTTCTAGTATTGATTTTTTTCTGTGTAATAAAATATTACTAGTGCTGATAAAAAAGAAAAAAAAAATTCTCAGATACCTACTGACATCTTGCCCAAAGCCTGTTAATCACTACTCATGGCTCCCATGGCACTGTGCATGCCATTCCAACATGCTTCTTTC